CGACGAGGCGTTACCCATAGCGACCCCTAGAGGGTGCAGTGTCTCGTTCCCTACTCAGAGAATCATGGTTACCTACGTAACCTGAGACGCTTTGTATTTTCTAGTTCCTCAACATTGTGTCCTTACCAGATGTTATAAATTGACAAGCAGAGGTGTCAGAGTTTTTGTCCTAACCAACCATTCAGTGTGAACAGACTAATTGCCTGTCACTGAAATCCTTTTGTATCACACCTGGTTAGGACAGACTACAGCATGTTGCTCATTTATTTGTATCAATTCTACAAATAGTGATCTAGCTGGTTTTCAAAGCTAATACAGATACCTTTCAAAGGTAAAAACAGGTTGAGTCATTCTGGTTGGTTTTGAATCCTACTGGAAAACTTATCAGAACTCTTTATCAAAAACTCTTGCGTTTCCCATAATAGCTCTTTGATGACTTCAGCCCAAACGTCACCTGAAGTAATGTGCTATACAAGGTCATGGTTGGTTTAGATATGGAGATTAAAGCAGAATGTGTGTGGTTCAAATGCAAGGTCATGCAAACCTTTTTGGGGGGCAGAGTAATAATGCATGCATGAAGATTTCACAGTGGTCGCTTTTCAGCTATCACCTATGCATGGGTGACATTAGGAGATGCCTTTCTGTAGATTATTATATTTTGATTATGAATACTGTCACTTGCCATATATCATCAGTCCGATTACAGTCAGATACAAACATCTTCCTAGCATGAATCTATTGTTCTTTGTATTACAGTAACTGTTGTTGCTCTTATCTTTTCATTTTTATTAAGAATCAGGTGTTAGGTTGTTTATTGAAACCAGGTTGATAACTGCATGTGACTGCATGTTGTTAGTGGTACATTTCTGTGTAATGTGAGGGATTTAGACCATTGATGTGGAGTGCTGCCCGCTGTAGGACTGTTGTACCCAAACAGCGTTCATTAGTATCTGATTTCATGTTGTTTTTACTGTTCCTCTGGTGTTGCACAGAAAGGGTTTTGGCTTTTGACATAAAATCTGGTCCACATTGCAGCTTCTTCTGGCCACTCTGCACTTTGGCAACACACGCACACACGCACACAGTAACACATTAATGTATCTCCCTCATGAGAAGACTTTTCTATGGAAAACCACCTAACTTGGAATTTTGTGCATTAAAAATCCTTAAATGAAATTGATCAAATGGCTCATACTGTATTTGTCAATAAATGGCACAAATAACAGTCTTGTCCCTCATCTGAAACTTTAGAGGAGAGACAAATGTATGGAGAAAATATGAGAAGCAGATGACTTAAAGCAGCCATATGTAAGTGGTTTTTGTTTGTATGTTTGTTTGTTTGTTTGAACATTAAAATATATTAGTTTCAAAATCATTCTGATTTGTACACTGATTTCACTGTGTGTGTTGTGATTGGCACCAATCGGCACATGGCCGGGAAATGTCATGCCCCTTACCATAGCTGCTTGCCAGCTTCAGTGTAAATATTGTGTCAAAATAAATGTAATTAAAATAAAAAAATAAATAAATTTGAGCACGATTTAAACCCGGATGATTGTAACCACTCTAAGTTCATCTGCCTTGGGAAAGCTAGTTTCTGTTACGTCAGAAGTAAATGAGCTTAATATAATAACCAAATACATTAGCATTGCCATGTCTATTACTATGCTAATCTCTCCAAAACTTGTCATGACAGAACTTCTAATAATGTCTGTTCTGGGACTATGTAAGGGCAAATTCCAAACAGAAGTTAGCATCCCTACGCTCTGGCTCACTCTGAAGGGCCCCATTAGCTGTTCTTAATATAGGAAGTTCATATTATTACTGTTAATATAATTATTGCAAACAAATAGTTCATAATTAAGTTTTTGAAATATGTTTATATGACTGTGTGTTTCCTCTCTGCTCTCAACTTATTTAAATTACATATGAAATACATCACAATAATGCATGTATCACCCAGTTTTATTTATCAGATACTCAAAAACATATTGAAATAGAGTTCTGCTCATCAATATCTAGTTGCTACTAAGTGCCTCAAACAAAACAGTCTTTCAAAGATCTGATGTCTTTTACTAGTTTACTAGGCAAATCTAGTATTTCCTCAAAAGCATGCATCAGCTTGGTACCTTGATTTTGGTTTCAGGCTGACTGATTGAAAAACAGCATGCTCTTGCTTCTGGAAGCTGCATAAAGCAAGCAGTTAAAATGGGAACTAGCTCTTTTTGTGTGCAGTGTGCATTAGACAGTCAGAGAATGATCTTACTCCATTTTTACCCTTAGTAGTACTTATTTATAGACCTGAGTAAATGTAAGTTTTATTATCATTTATCTTAACAACCTGGAGCTTAACACGCTCAAAAATGTGGAGATGATAGTGGACTTCAGGAGAAAACCCCCTGCACTCCCCCCACTCACCATCATGGACAGCACTGTGGCTGCAGTGGAGTCATTCAGGTTCCTGGGCACCACTATCTCTCAGGACCTGAATTGGGACACTCACATAGACTCCATTGCAAAAAAGGCCCAGCAGAGGTTGTACTTCCTTCACCAGCTGAAGAAATTCAACCTGCCACAGGAGCTGCTGAAACAGATCTACTCTGCTATCATTGAGTCTGTCCTGTGTTCATCTATAACTGTCTGGTTTGGTTCAGCAACCAAATCATACAGCAAGAGACTACAACGGACAGTCAGGACTGCTGAGAGGATTATTGGTGTCCCTCTGCCCAGCCTCCAAGATATTTACATCTCCAGAGTGAGGAAAAGGGCTAAAAAAATCACCTTGGACCCCTCACACCCAGCCCACTCTCTCTTCGAACTGTTGCCTTCTGGTCGGCGCTACAGAGCACTGACTACCAGAACAGTCAGGCACAAGAACAGTTTTTTCCCACAAGCTATATTCAGTCTGAACAATTCATCTTTCATAATTATACATCGTCCATCACAACTAACATAGTATATTTATATTAAACCGCACACTTTGTAAATAACATATCTGCACACTAATAAACATATATGTACATTTATCTAAACAATTACATTTTTTCCTATACTTCTATTTCTGTATATAGTACATTATTCAATTTTTCTTTTTTTATTATATTAGTGTTATATTACATCCCTACTGTGTTATTCCTATGTATGTCTGCACTATCATGTATGTCTGCACTATGTTTGTACTTTCTTCTACACTGGAAGCTCCTGTCATCAAGTCAAATTCCTTGTGTGTGTAAACATACTTGGTAATAAAGCTCTTCTGATTCTGATTCTGATTCTGATCATTTAAAGACCTAGGATTGATTGAATTGACAGACCACCAGTGTTTCACTGATTCCAGTTAATGGGTTAAATTGTGTGAGTGCTATACACTAGAGCCATAAGAATGGTGTTTCTGTATTACTCCATAAGCTCATGACTGCTGCTGATACAGGAATTACCTTGTAGTGTTGTCATATCCCTCTTAATACGAGTCTTTGCCAGCACGGCACCTCCTAAGTGGGCATCGATTGTCTTTTCACCCAACAAAGTTCACAGACTCATAGTAAAACACACTCATACACGTTCTTTCTGTCTCTCTGTCTGTGCGACTTACAGTCTCCTCGCTCAAAGCATCTTTCAGCACCTACGCAGCATTAAACTAAACATTACTGGGAAGCATTACAATTTCTCCTGTGTGTACATGTCCCTAAGATCTATGGTTGATTTTGAAGCTCAAAATGTATTGTATTGTATTTCTATGTACTATTAAAAAATAATAATAATATAAAAGTATCCAAAAACATTTTATTTTTATTTTTTCATTATGCTGACATTAGTTTCCCGTTGCACAACCAAAGCTAAGAATGTGAACTACCAGTCAAAACTTGGGATGCACCTACTCATTTGTTATTACCATTTATAAAGTAATTAAAACCATGAAATGACAAATGGAAACATGGAAATTATGTTCAAACCTAAATTTTAAGCTTCATTAGTGTCGCCATCTAAATCAACCTTATAAAAGTATGTTTATTGTGCTTACAGCATTGAAAAAACAGTTGTCTGTTTGTTTATTTAGGCCAGTGGAGAACTGCCCCCCTGACTGAGCCTGGTTTCTCACAAGTTGTCGTTGTTGTTGTTGTTTCTTTCTTTAAAAGACAGTAAATATTCAGTAATATTATTGATTTGACTGCACTTACACTATCGAATGAGAACAAAACTTGAACTGAATTGAGCTTAATGAAAACACTACTATCTTCTGTATAGCTACCTAGCACGTATCAATTTTAATGTTTAACTTTGCTCAACATTTATTTATTTGTCTGTTGAAAATTGATATATAAACATGAGAACAAAATAGACAAAATTGTCTTAAAACAAAATAATATATACAGTATATAAAGGATTTATTTTTATGAGTTCTATATGTGTCATATTTGTGACATCTTTGGTGTCAAGACAAAAGGACCCAGAAGCAAAGGCACGTCAAACAGAGATTTATTGTCCTTTAAATAAACTCAGGCAGTCTGCCGTTCACTGGCCGTATCAGGCGAACGCAGATCTGGAAGCAACTCAGGAATAACGGGAATTCAGGAGCCAACTTGAATGGGAAAACGGGAGTGTAGTCTTGGGCGGCAGTGCGAGGACCATGTATCCAGCGGACAGCGTCCGGAGGAGGGAGTGCAGCAGGCGGCGGGCAACTGAGAGACTGGGCAGAGCACAGGTGAGTAACTCGGCTGGACTCACTTGACAGAACAACGAAGGACATGACTAGACTTGACTGGACTGAAAATAACAGGAGAGCATAGCAACGAGACAGGTAACAAAGCACAATAATCTGGCAAAACGCCTAGGAACAGGCAGAGGGAAATAGAGATGTTAATGAGAGTAAAGGGCGAGCAGGTGCCATCCCAATCAGCGCGAGCACTGATAGAGACAGCAAACAGCTGCATCAAGGATAGAGCGCAAGACATTGAAAGGAAAAGATAACCAGAGTCAAACCCGGCTCATAACAGTACCCCTCAGGCAGAAGACTGACGAGAGCGAAGGAAGTCCTCGATGAGCGAGCGGTCCAGGATGTCCCGGGCCGGAATCCAGCTTCTCTCCTCTGAGACGAACCCCTTCCAATCGACCAAGTACTGAAAACCCTGCCCTCGAGGGCGGACAGCCAACAGCTTCTTGACTCTGTAGACAGGGGAACCCTCAATAAGGACAGGGGGGAGGGAGGGAGGGGAAGAACGGGAGGGTGGGCGGATGAAGGGTTTAATACACGAGACTTGGAAACCCGGGTGGACGCGTTGTAAAAAGCGTGGTAATCTGAGTCGCACCACCACAGGACTGAGAACCTTGACAATCGAAAAAGGGTCAATAAATCTAGGCGCTAACTTTTGAGACGGGGACTGAAGGGGTAGATTATGAGTGGATAGCCACACTCTCTGACCACAGACGTATCTCGAGGCCTTAGAGTGGTGACGATCGGCGGCACGCCGGATGCACTCTCTTGTCTTGCACAATGCATTATGCACCCTTCTCCAGGTATGTCAACAGTGCTTAATAAGGGCTTGGACGGAGGGGACAGAAGCCTCCGATTCTTGGGAGAAGAATAACGGTGGTTGGTAGCCCAGACAACATTGGAATGGAGATAATCCAGTAGATGATGACGGTAGCGAGTTACAGGCATACTCGGCCCAACCCAGCTGCTCACACCAAGTAGCGGGATTGTGAGCCGCCAGAGTACAGAGTAAACGCCCAAGAATCTGATTGACGTGTTCGGCCTGCCCATTAGACTGTGGGTGAAATCCTGACCACAGACTGGCAGTAGCTCCAATCTGCCAACAAAATTCCCTCCAAAACTGAGAGACAAATTGAGGTTCCCTATCAGAGACTATGTCAGAGGGTAGCCTGTGAACCTTAAAAACGTGATTGAACACTGCTTGCGCCGTTTCTTTAGCGGACGGGAGCTTAGGAAGGGGGACAAAATGGGCAGCCTTAGAAAAGCGATCAACGACTATAAGAATCACAGAATTATCTGCAGAAGGAGGCAATTCCATAACGAAATCCAAGGCGATGTGTGACCAAGAGCGAGACGGAACCAGGAGGGGACAAAGTAGGCCTGTGGGGGGAGAATTGCTAGACTTAGACTGGGCGCAGACGGGGCATGAGGCCACAAAACGACGAACATCTTGGGTCATAGCCAGCCACCAAAAACGTTGGCGGACGGCAGCCAGAGTCCCCCTAACTCCAGGGTGCGCAACAAGCCTGGAGGCGTGACTCCAGTGTAGAACAGCTGGGCGAACGGATCTAGAGACAAACAATCTTCCCTTAGTGCACTCTTGATGAATCGGGACACGAGCAAGTGCCTTCTTTTCCTGCCGCTCGATTCTCCAGACCACAGCCCCGACCACACAACTACTGGGCAAAATAGTCTCTGTGGAAGAGCTGTCCTTTGAAGAACCGAACTGACGAGAAAAATGCATCAGGTTTAGTGTTCTTAGAGCCTGGTCTGTACGAGATGGTAAAGTCGAACCGTCCAAACAATAGAGCCCAACGTGCTTGTCTAGCTTTTAATCTTTTAGCCGAACGAATATATGCTAGATTTTGATGATCTGTCCAGACAACGAATGGAATGACTGCCCCCTCTAACCAATGACACCACTCGCCTAATGCCAACCGAATGGCCAGGAGTTCACGGTTACCTACATCATAGTTATGTTTCGCTGGCGAGAGGCGGTGATAGAAAAACGTGCACAGGTGAACTCTGTTGTCCTGTGGCGAGCACTGCGAAAGCACCACTCCCACACCAACATTAGATGCGTCAAACTCTACTATGAATTGTCTGGTAGTGTTGGGAGTAATAAGGATGGGGGCGGAAGTAAATAATATCTTGAGACGATCGAAAGCGTCTTGTGCAGCCTCAGACCAAGAGAAACGAGACTTGGTCGAGGTAAGGGCAGTTAGAGGGGCAGCGTCTTGACTGAATTTATGAATAAAGCGTTGATTAAAATTTACAAACCCCGAAAACATCTGGAGCGCTGTGCGAGAGTCAGGAACAGGCCAATCAGTAATGGTGCGCACCTTGGCAGGGTCCATACTGATCCCATTCGCGGACACGACTGAGCCTAAAAACGTTACAGAACTAGCATGAAAGACGCACTTCTTGGCCTTAACAAAAAGGTCATTCTCTAGCAGACGTTGAAGCACGCAACGAACATGCTGGACGTGCTCCTGGAGGGAGGACGAAAAAATTAGAATGTTGTCCAGGTACACGAAAATGAAAAAATTTAGCATGTCCCTCAGGACATCATTAACGAGCACCTGGAAGACAGCCGGAGCATTGACGAGCCCGAACGGTAAAACCCGATATTCAAAGTGGCCTAAGGAAGTATTGAAAGCAGTCTTCCACTTGTCTTCCTCCTTGATGCGCACTAAATGTACGCATTGCGAAGGTCCAATTTAGTGAAAATCCTTGCTCCCTGCAAGACCTCAAATGCCGACAACATAAGTGGTTCTTAACAGTTATGTCATTCAACCCATGATAATCAATACAGGGACGCAACGAGCCATCCTTCTTTTTCACAAAAAAGAACCCTGCATCGGCGAGAGAGGAGGAGGGAATATTGGTACCAGCGGCAAGTGAGTCGGCTAGGTATTTCTCTAGTGCCTAGCGTTCAGGTGCGGACAAAGAATATAGTCTACCACGAGGCAGAGTCCTACCGGGGATAAGATTGATGCTGCAGTCATAAGGTCGATGGGGAGGGAGAGAAGCAGCCCGTGACCGACTGAACACCGCTCGCAGATCGTGGTACTCCTCAGGGACACCAGATAAATCACCGGGTTCCTCCTGAAACATAGAGACAGCGGAAACAGCAGGCACAGCAGAGACAAGACACTTAACATGACACGATAAACTCCAAGACATTATGGTACCCTTAGCCCAATTGATCTGGGGGTTATGCTGAGTTAACCAAGGATGCCCCAAAACGAAAGGTGTTAGGGGGGAACGAAAAATGAAAAAAGACATTGTCTCTTGGTGTTTGCCAGAGATGGTGAGACTCACTGGCACGGTGGCTCGGAGGATCTTGGCAAGGATGCGACCATCCAGGGTATAGATAGTGGGAGGGTCATTCAACTCGTTGAAAGGAATGCCATGCTCGAGAGCCCACCCTTCATCGTATGAAATTCCCCTCGGCCCCCAAATCAATGAGAGCAGTGCACTTAAAGGTGGTCCCACCATAGCGCAGAAGGGTGACGATGGAGGTGCACGTCTTGAGAGCAGGGGAGAAAGTAGACACGCACGCCAGAACTCTACTGGCGAGCCATCTCTTTTACCAGGCACTAGGGATGCACCGATATCACTTTTTCCAGTACTCGCCCGATACCGATACTTTTATTTTTGGTACTTGCCGATACCGAGTACTGATACAAATATGTTTACTGCATTTGTACAATTTTTAAATATTGGGTACAGAAAGAGTATGTATAATGTTAGTTGGTTAACTTAATTTATAAAATAGATAGTCAAACCAAAATTTATTCAGACATCTTCAACATTTCTCACATTATCACAGTTTATTCGCTATAGTTTAGAAAATGGTAATAAAATATGACAAGAACTAAATTCAGTCAGAACAAATTCAGCTTGATAATGTTAGATAACTTTGATAGAAAGGTATGTAATATATTACATTCAGTTTTGGGCCCCTTTCGGTGCATCCCTACCAGGTACCCTGCGGCGTAATGCCCCTGAGCGCCACAATACATGCAGAGTCCCTCCTGAATGCGGCGCTGTTGCTTTGCAGCGGAGATGTGATCACCTCCCAGTTGCATAGGCTTGGGTTCAAAAGAAGTCACGGACGAGGGCGAAACGGCAGCTGAAGCAGTTTGTTGGACAGGAACGAGGGTGCGGGCGAGGCCGCGCAACTCAAAACGCTTGTCGAGGCAGATTGCCAGCTCAACCAGCTGTTCAAAGCGAGATGGCAAATCACTGGCAAGAATCTCCTCCTTGATCTTCCCATTCAGTCCGTCCAAGAAGTGAGGGCCGGTTCGTTCTACTCACAAGTGGCTGCTAATGTGTGGAACTCAATTGCGTAATCGGCAGCTGTCCGCCTACACTGGGGATGTGCAGCAAGCTGTCGGGATGCCTCGGATCCATAGACCGAGCGGTTGAATACCTTAGTCATCTCCTCCTTAAAGAGAGAAAACTGTTTGCAGCATCCTGCTTCCGATTCCCAGATGGGCGCTCCCCAAATCACGCGCCCTCCCAATCAGGAGAGATCACATAGGCTACCTTTGAGCGGTCCTCAGCACAAAAAAAAAAAACACTTCACATTGAGTCAAAAATGCATGGCATTCTGTAGGCAGTCCGGAGTAGCAAGGAGGATTGTTTATTTGTGGTTCAGGAAAGTTACAAGACTCAGGCATGGCTGTTTGCTCGGGACACAGGAGATGCAGCTGATTGGTTAACTCTGTCACCTGGGAGGCCAGACTCTATGGCGTACTTGGCGGCGGACAGTTCCTCTTCATATCAGCCCAGCATAGCACCCTGCAGCTCGACCGCTGAATGAATGGAAGTCTCCTTCACTGGTTCCATCACTTTGACCAGATTATTCTGTCAAGCCAAAAGAACCCAGAAGCAAAGGCACGTCAAACAGAGATGTATTGTCCTTTAAATAAACTCAGGCAGTCTGCCGTTCACTGGCCGTATCAGGCGAACGTAGATCTGGAAGTAACTCAGGAATAACAGGAATTCAGGAGCCAACTTCAATGGGAAAAGGGGAGTGTAGTCTCAGGCGGTAGGGCGAGGAGTGACTATCCCAGCAGACCATGTATCCAGCGGACAGCGTCCGGAGGAGGGACTACAGCGGGCGGCGGGCAACTGAGAGACTGTGCAGAGCACAGGCGAGTAACTCGGCTGGATTCACTTGACAGAACAATGAAGGACACGACATGACATTTGGTGCAATGAACTGTAGCGAATCCGCTCAAAGGGGAAATATTAATAATTAATCATAACTAGTTTTAATTAATTATAAATATTTAGATCCGCTGTAAGTATTTACTTGACCTCTTAGGGTCAACTGTTTGTCAATTCTAAGAACGTTAATTTCCTGGTTAAGGGAAATAACTCTTACTGTACAATACTACTCATGTACTAGCATGTAGCAGAAATCTGCATGATTAGGGACTACAATTATGAGCAAACAATGAACAACCTCAGGTGTGATACAAGTAAGACTTTATTAACTACATAAACACTTAAATTAGTCTAACATACACCTACACATACACACACACACACGCACGCACGCATGCATGCAGTTGGTATAGGAACTGAGTGTCCTCCGCCATCCCAGGGTAATTGCGAGCTCCAAAGTAAGCTCGTCGAAGTCTGTGGTAGTAACCATGGGGAGTTTCATGCCAGCCCTGTTTGGTGTCTAGGGCAGGGATCAGTCCGTGTTCAGACTCTGGGTCTGAGAATTCCATTTTGATGGCTTGTTTAACCCTCTGAAGTCGACTAATGCGGATACGCGTTTTGAGGCATCTTCTCCTGATAACACCGAAAATAACTTAAATTACACTTTCAGTTTTGATCTTACAGATAAGAGCAATACATCAATCGAATCTGTAAAGGGTCTACTTTTATTTGTATACACACATAATAACAACAGAACTTTGTGCATTTATAGCAGTATTTAGGTTGCCAGATGTATTGTCTCTGGCCAGCTCGTTGGAGTCTGTGGGGCCACACGGTGTGTGTGTCTGCAGTGACCCTCTGGAAGGGTCCCTGCCCCACCCCCCTGTGGCTGCTGGCTGGTGACGTGTGAACAGTGGGCTCTCGCCCCCCCCTCGCAGGTTCGAACTCTTGGCTGAGGGGGTCTGGGCCTGCTTGCCAGGGGAAGTTCTGTGTCGTGTTTTCCCTGTCTGTTCACCTTGTGGTCTGCAAACATATTTCAGTTCATTTGTGACACTGAATTCACCTCGTTGCGTTGTTTCGGTTCGCCTGAAAA